TGGATGAATTTTTGCTTTACTGAAGTTAATGAGACACTTGTCAGGGGCTTAATCAGGACAATTCATCTATGATGATATTTCAGCCCACTGGAGCCTAAGCTTAATAACGTCTTCAAAAGCTTTGGGCTAGCGGAGACTGCTGTGTGTGAAAAGTATTCAGTGGGATAAGGTAAGGACTAATTTGAGCAACAGCTCAGTTTGAATTTAATCTTCGAAGACTGAATCAAGTCATCCATTTTTCCTAGTTCTCTAAGTCACTAATCCCCAGCGATTCTCCAGTCTTTGTTATAACACCTTCTGGAGTACAAATATTTGTGGCAATCTCTTTTGGACAGGCTATTTTATTGACAGCTTTTGGATTTTATGCAGCAAAAATAGAGATTATTTTTATTTAGGTAAGAGTCAGATGCTTTAGAAGTCAATCAGAGTATATAAATTTGAAATATAGGAAAATTCAGTGCTAAATTGTCTCTTCAAACAAGCTGTTCTTCAAACTCTTGAAGCAAAAGCTCTTTGGAAAATGAAACCCCAAAAATGCTCTTTTTTTTTTATCATTGTTACATTTTGATAGAGATTTTCTACATATTTTTGTTCCGTATGTTGTTGCAATATATTTTGAGTGAGCTTATTTGAAAGGAAGTAAGGAAGCAATCTATGAGGAGAAAGGTTGGAGAAACAGAAGGATTGCATCAAAGGTATATAATTGAATGGTTAATGAAGGAGGATAAAACACAGAACAGAGAGTGTCCAAAAGGCTTTTCAAATCTGAATAAAAAATCAATCTCATAACATAGCATAGTGAGTTTTTCTTATATGCCATTGGTAGTTACAAAAAAAAAAGTAGAATCGTCTGAACTCAAGGGATGTCTTTGCACTGAAATCTGCTAGATATTAGATAGGAACTATAATATAGGGAGATGAGGGATAAGTAGCGGTTGCAGACCACCAACTGAGCAATTTCTAGAGGAGTTCTGAAAGTGACTTGAGCATACAGTTGCATGTTCCATCTTTTTGGCAGGCAGAACAATGCATTTTCGCTTAGGAAATAGGTCTGAAAGGAAAATGAGAAACATTCAGAGTTGTAATTAGATATTAGGAATGGAGAGATTTGCCAGCCCCAAAGACCTGAGAAATAAACACATTGTTTATTAATAGCTTTAACACAGCTATTCTTCAATAAATGTACTTGTGAAGGACTTTGAAATTTTGCAAAATATTATTATTCTTCTAGGAGCCTATTCGTTTAAAAGATTCATACCTTTAATGAGTCTTGGCTTCCTAGTGCACTGGTAATTAGTTATTTTATATGTATATAAAGGGAAAAAAATGATTATACTAGACAAAAATGCAAGTTCAATGAAGTTAGTTTAAAATTCCTGTAAAATTCTAAATCTTGTCCTGCTCTACACATAGAATGACATGAAATATATTGTTTGATTAAAGTTATGTAGCCATTGTGCTTTAAAATTCAATTTTATTACCTTTTGTATTCAAAAGGGAGATATAGGATGTGTCACATTATATGAAACATGGGGAACAGAAACTTAAGAATTCATTAGCTGCACAGAATTCATACTAAAGGGCATAACAAAATCTCTGGATTGATACAGTATGTTAATGTAGTCTAAGATATCTTCCAGAATAGAACTTTTGGAGCAGATCCTATGAATTTAAAAGTAGCATATTCTCAATATTGAATTAATGAGAATAGTGTGGCAGATTTAATTTTGAATATATATTAGAAGAATCAAATGTTGTGTATATGAAAATGGATTAGGATATTGTTTTAAATCTATATTTATGCTTAGGGATCTGTATTTTTCTGATGCATCAGACCTTTTACAGTTCAGAAATCTTCCAAAAAGGCATAATTTTTAAAAGAATATATAATTATTATGTATATCATCAGAGATATCATCACACGTTGTGTTAATGATTTTAAATCACAAGACTTTTCTTTGACCTAGCATAAAATTATGAAATTTGTCACATTGATGTTTTCAACTTTGAAAACAATAACTGATTAAGCCAAAATCATTTTCCTAGAACAGGTGTTCTTTGAATAACAGAATTACAATTTTCTCCGTATCCTTTATGTGTAAGGTATTTTCATAATGCAAGGGGGCTATTTTTGGTGTAATGCAATATAGGTCTGTCTCCATTCATGTTCTGATTAACCAGTCAGAGCAGTTTTTTGTTGGCTTTAGAAATAACTTTATACTGGTATATGAACAGCAAATATAGTATGTTTGTCTTGCCCTGACCAGAAAACATTTGTTAAATGATGAAGACGTCTTCTGTCTTTTAATGTAGTGTCCTCAGAGGGAGGTGTCTATGTTCCAGTTTCATTCTTCCATTTGCCTAGTTTCTGTCATAAGTAAATAACTTCTATAATGAAACAGCCTTTTCCAAGAATCAATGAGTACCTTCTTACCACCGCTGATATACAATGCTTGTGTTGTTGTAAGCACTAAAAGTAATTTTCTCAAAAACAATTACATTTCTTTCTGTAGTAGGTGTCATAGTTATCCTGTATTCCAGTTATTTAACTTTGTAATTTTCAGGCTACAGACTTTCAGCAAAAAAATACAGGTTCAAAAGCTAACCTAATTTGTATTTTTCTTAGCAAAATGGGAAAATTTGGGGAATTTTTATGAGATTCTGTGAAGTTTGTATTGAATGAATAATTTGACTCTTTTTGCATTATTTTCCATGGGATATTTCTTCTGCATATTGATAATAATTAAAAATATTATTCTCCATACTTTTTACAATGTTTTTCCAAATATTCACTTACTAAATTGCATAAAACTCTTCAAACATTGCAGGCTCCATTTCAGTGATTTTGGTTTCATTCTCTTCAAAACTAGTTTTGAGAAGAATTTTTTCAGATGTGGCTGACTCTTTGCATAATTACCAGTGAGCCATGTTAGCAAAGTTTTTATTATTTTTAATTGTATTCAGGCATAAACTTCAGTAACTATTTTAAAATTGAAAATAAATAAATAAATAAAGGATAATTGTTTATATTGTTTCATATTGCCTAGTTGAGACTAATCACTGCACCTAATGCCATTCTATAAGTTAATAACTATAGCTGTTTCCTTTATATATTTTTAATGTGTTTGATTGTTTGTGTAGTCAGGAGCATGTTCTTGTTACATTTTTAAATGACAGGACACTTAAACAGGCCTAAAGGAGATACAGAAGTCTGTGGTGTCACTGTCTCATCCTTTTACTTACTTACCCCTAGCCAAGACTTAGACTGACAGTATGATTACACAGAGTTTCTGTATATTATCTGTGTTCTCTGTTGGGGTTGCTTTTACTGATAAGAGCAGTTCCCCAGAACAGGAAAAGATTATCGGGTTTGATACCAGTCTGGCATGGTTAACCCTGCTCTTGCTATTTTTCTGAAGTAAATACTAGACAAATATAAACTCCAGGGAAGAGAGAAGCATGTTAAAGTATTTCTTCCCGCAAAGTCACCTTTGTGTTTAGTTACATTTCGTTTTCCTTGCATTTAGTAAGGAAAGGTCAAAAGGACAAAAGGACAGATATCCTTATTAATATCATTTGCTAATGGATTTCATTATCTGTACAGTTTGATTACAGATATGAAATCTGTTATGTGTTGGATGTTATTAATACTAATAATTGAAACAATTGATTGACAAGTTTGCCAGTATGATGGCATAAAGGATCGGTATTAGGTGTTAGGTATTAAGGTGTATCTGTAGTGTTTACCTATATGTTTCCCCTACATAGAGAGTTATTTTCTTAAATTTAAAAAATGATAAAAATAAATTAAAAAATAGATGAAGCAGGAGATACTGTAAGAGGAGGCCTTCAGGGCCTACATTTAACTGAGGGAATTAAATGTATAATTCCCAGTGAATTACAAAGGGATTTTTGCATATAGTACTGTCAGGTGCCTTTCAAAGTCACAGTTTTACTATGCAAATAGGTGCTTACATTTCTGTGTGATATTTGTAGGTTTTTTTTTTTTTATGTTAGACATTTTTACTGAAAATATATGCTGGAGATATAAAGGAATCTTAAAAAACATAATACAGACCTGACTAAAAGTAGGAAAAATTCTGATGAGAGAACACATTTATTTCTTGGATGTACTTCCACAAATTATTATCTGTGGTGATTAGCATTAGAGAGTGGATAATATAATTTTGACATAATTTTGCTGGATCATCTTTCTTCATATTATTATTCTCAGTAAGGATGCAGTGATGGCAGTTACCAAGTTCGAATGGATGTTAAAAAGCCAGTAGTGATCAGCCAACACTCTGTGACACTTAAAAGTGAATCTCTTCTTTCCTGTAAGGTTTTCTCTTTATTGTGTTCAAAAGGTCATTGTCACAATCGGGAAGTATTCACAGCACTCAGTTGTGTGCAGACATATGCACCCTATGGTAAGATGCTGGTCTCTCTGAAGGCTTGGTATTAGCCATGGAAAGTGCAAGTTCCTTCAAAGAGTAATCCTGTTATCAGCAATAAAGTTTGTTCTTTGCAGTAGTCTCTCTTTCTCTGTATACTACCCAGGAAGCTTATGTTCTTTCACAGCTGCAATAACAAGTTTTCATTTCACTCAATTTCAGTTAAAATTCCTCATTTGCAATACTGATAGGGCAGCTATTCGATATGGTGGATGGTCCCAAAATGCCTACTCGTTATACACAAAGACTAGTATTTAGGGTTTTTAATAGATTTTTCGCAAACATGTTACATTCAGTAATATGGTGCGTTTTTGTGTGAAATTCATGAGTTCCAAGTAAAAGCGATTTCTTAGAAGTGTTACTTTCTAGGAAAACAATTAAATAATTCAAAACTTCTT